TTACAAACAACGATAAATATGACGAGTATGAAATATTTACGCAAAATTTGTTTATTCGTTTTGCCGCGTGTTCTTTTTAGATCTTCCTATATGAATAAAACATCTACCAGTTAATTGCTGTAATTATCACTAAACTATGCTTTTATCAATGAAAACAAATTTTATTTTACAGCGTTACTAATTCAAAATTATCTTATTAATTTGTAAAGCGAGATATAATCAATTTTCGAAAAATATTATTACTGTATACGTTTAAAAATATTAATTTTTTAAAAAGTACTTTAGCGAACAAATTGCAAAATAAAGATGATGATAGGTTCATTGAACAAGTTTGCCGTTTACGAAATTCGTGAATTGTGTAACTGTCAGATCGCAAGATTGATTTTTAATTTGTTCCTTTGAGTCAGTGGCGTGAAAACAACAATGTCGTTAAACAAAATGGCTATAGGAGTCGCTATGAATTAAAGGTTAAATTAAAATTGTGATCTTTGTTCCATCCTCGTGACGAGTTACACAACACGGCATCCATTCTTCGGTCGTCTTCACGTGGCGGTGCTTGGTTGACTACAGTCGACAAATTCCGTTCGGTACAAATCCCGTCGCAACCGTTACAATCGTTGGCTGTTTGCAAAGTTGTAACCGCGTGAGTCTTCCGGAAAGCTGCCACATAACCGTCGAATTAGAGCGACGATGAAAGACCAATTCCCGGATAATCGAACTAGCTCTAGCTTACCTCCGTACGAGACGTTATATTGCTTCATTTCTCGAGTTCAACAGAAATTCCCGAGCTCTGCCAAAGCGAACAGTCGGCTTTTCCTCATCTCTCCTTTAATGTTTTCAATGTCGAAATATGACGTTCGTCAGCTTGTTCACTCTTGCGTAACGAATGAACGTGTAGTTGAGTCTTCGTTGCTTCGAAACTGCGACCGTTGGTTAGCTCATTAAATAAATTTAATCAATTAATTGAAACGATAGATACCGTATAATTATTTTCAACATTTAAACAATGATATATTAATTAATATATTCGCGAATACAAATTGAATGTGAATATTTGTATTACAAATCTAACGCAAACGGTCATGCCTTTCACCGTTGGTTTAGTATGCTTTCTACATTCTCAGCTTTCACGTACCAGCCGAATGTGCAGCGAGCTATTTAAACTTTCGGTCAACGGAGGAGTAGTTAAAGTTTGAGAAATTCGGGTAACGCATGTGTACTTTAATTAACACGCATACGTAGGAAGTTCCTTGGTTATTAAGCCCTGTCGTCTGGAAATTGGATGTACAAATCCTGCAATACTCATCCCACGACGTTATATATTCACATTTTGTATCCGCATATACTCATATAAATTCTTGATTTGTCGTGAAATATAGTCGCGCAGAAATACATTCAGCGGAGCAAACATTTAATAATAAATGGGCTCTCCAATTATATTATAATCTTTTTTGCAGATATATTTGTAGCATTGGTTTATATTTACATTTCATTAAATTTTATGCTTCTAAATTACGCGTGCCGTTTTGAAAAATATATTCAAAAGATATATTTATAATTATATGCATTATTTAACGCTTTTACTACACATACCGAGTATACGCCGTTCAACGCTATTATATACTTTGTTTAACGCTGAAATGAAGTTTCTATATAATAAAATTTTGTCTAAATGACTCCAGAGGGATTGAAATGAAGGATTCACTTGGTTAGATTTTGCTGAGCTGTCCTAATTATCCATAGAACGGAAAAAGCTCGAGCGGAGGATGCAGCTGATTACCGGCGGGGTGCAGTAAATCCTAAAATCCACCGAATTTCGAAGCTCCGAGGTATGTCGTAATCGAGTCACTCCGCGGTCAATCTTAAACTACCGAGTTATACGAGTGACTCTGCGGCACTCGCGCTCCGGCACTTTAATCCGAGGGACTTGAGAGTGCACCTGGTAGACGACGACGCTGGTATATCTCTCCCCCGGCTGCGAAGTTCGGGTTAGCTTGCGAGCGCGTTAAGGGGTGCGGGGATGGTAGACCCAATTACATCTCGTTCGTGCAGAATTGGACGAATACATACAAGATGCTTAAGACGCCTTAACTATCTTGGGATTTGTACCCACATTCTAACTGTCGAGATTCGTTTAAATACCCTACGCTGGACTCTCGTCGGTTACCGAGGATTTCTATCACCCCATAAATTTATCACTGTAAACTCTGACAAACAGTTTACCGAAATAACCTGCTGTATCTTTATAATATTGTAGTAATTTACGATTTAGATTTTTATATAAATTTTGTTCTCGTCATTTTATACGATATAATATTTTATAATTATTTACCTGATTTTTATTTATTGTCTAATTAAGCAAGAAAATTCGACGATTGTGTAAAAATCAATAACGTAACAATAAGTAGATAATAATATAAGATTAACTTGTTATAAGTAACCGTTAGATTGTAAATTTAATACAAGCAATTTTTCATTTGTTGCAGAACGTTGCAGAACAAATACAAAGAAACTGCCATTTTTCTACGATCGATAACGACGTTCACACAACGAAATGTGAGTGACGACGAAAGAATTTTTACGAAATTGACGATTGAAAATTAATCGACGATTAATGTACGTCTCTGCTTCGGGTTAATGGAGCGCAACCTATGGAAGGGAACGTGATGATACGCTGCCAACCGAAGATGGAGGTTTCTTAAGCCAGGATTAGATGGCCGTCTGAAACCCAAGCGCTCCTGTCCTCATCTCAGATCGATCAAATCATTGACGTGAGCTCCTTGAAGAGCTTTAAACTTCGCGCATTAGATTCCGCCAATGTGCGCGGAAGCTGTTTCACTCACGCGCGCTGCAACAAATCTGTGAAGATCTGAAACTGTGATTTTACATGACGGCAAAATTGCTGAAGAAAAGGAAACAGAGAGAACACTCGATTGCCCTTAATCTCGGATGATCAAAGGTTCGCCTGCTGAGAACAGATTTATTCTATGTCTTGCGAATTTCTGAGAGGCTGGTTGTCGCGGCGTAGAAGCTGCTGCATAAACGATGTGCTCGTCGATGAATTAAAGCGTATACCTGGGCTGGTCGTTCGGACAATCGATAATGCTGGGTCGTAAAACTTGGCGCGCCGCACGTAGCGTGTCTGATACATAATGCAATTCTATCGAGAGGATCGATGTCTCGAGGTGTGAAGCGAAAAACGCTGGGTCATTCTTAGTGCCTCGAAACAGATCTCAGAGACGTCTCGTGTCAATTACGACGCTGACTCGTCGCTGAATCGATCTTATGAAGTTGACCTGGAATGCTTGAGCCTCAGAAGAACTGGAAACAAGAGCTAATTCGAAATTAGGAACAAGTGTGTTAAACTCGAAATAAGTGATCGTATACGTGCTTACGCGAGAGTGCTCAATAAAGTGCGGGATTTCCTTAAATTTTTTTTTGTGAACGAGGTCGATTTTCGTGACGTCATTGCGAAAACGATTCGGAATAGTGTCGGGGATTTGGTAAATATTTGTCAGTACTTGAAAATCGAGTAGTTTAACGCGTCACGAGTCATCTCATCGTGATTCAAAGCCCGTTCGATGTGAATCGAAAAAAAGGGTCTTTCTATATTGACACGCCATATCAAACAGAGCTCGTGTAGAGGCTCGGGGGATACGTGCCAGAGTGCATAAATCGTGGTATACGAGCAATTAAGAAGTAAATCGGAAGAGAGGTAATTAACGTAGTATCTAAAGTACGAAGACGCGCATGCCTCACAATAATTAATTACTTTCAATGTAAGTTTAGAAAAGTCGGGCGATCTCTTGGGTACCATTACACGGACTTGAAGAATGGCACGTAATTCGTGAATAAAAACGTACAGCGGGTAAATTTCGAGGATAGTCCTAATTACTGAAGCGCACAACAAAGTTGTACGAAAACTTCGGTGAGGTTACAAAGAATTCTCTCGCGGATATACGGAAATCTCTGAAATATAGGAGCTAAGAGAACACGTGAGTCGCGAAGTCGTTCCAAATTCGCGAAAGTCAACCTCGTTTCTCGACTATTCTGGGCGAGCCCGAATGCGGGCGGTGCCGTATGTGCTTCGTTAAACTGACAATAATCGTCAACCGTCTGTCACGAACTTGTACGTGGGAGAGCGAGTGTCGGCAAATGAAATTCCGGCTGTGCACTTACGATGATGTCGTTTTGTGATTTGAGCACTCGAGCATCAAAAGCGTGAAAATTCGACTGTACTGTGCATTTTGACGGGAAGAAAATCGTCATAAAGATAAAATGGAAGAAATCTAAGACTACAAAAAAGATTATTCATGAGTTACCTTAAATGACAAAAATCATTTCCATACTTTGTACAGAGAGGAGCAGGAGAACGAGTATTGTTCGTCAACGACCATCAGAGCATGACGGTCCTTATCAAAGTATTCAGGCATTGATAGCCTGTCGATTCGTTTGAATATCCACAAGAGCAGGTTCACAGAAAGAGCCACAAAGGAGAAACGCGCGACGTTAACGAAGAGTTATCTTGAAAAAAATAAATAAATAAATTCGATAGAGAGAAGTTTGTGCGTTGCTGCAAACAGATCACCAGAAAACAATAATCGACTAACAGTCGTCGATTGTCGCGGAGCAAGTGATAGACTTTATCGGAGTCGACATGTGATGCACATCGTGGGCGACAAACGAGTGGTGTGCGCGATTAGTTACGAGAGAATGACGGTGATGTGTACGTCGTTCACGAATGTTGTTCAGTGCTGGGATGCTGTAGTGAGTAACTGTCAATAAAAGAACGGCGAGTGTGACACAACGAGATCAGTTTCGTCGTCGTCGTCGTCGTCGTCATCGTCGTCGTCGTCGTCGTCGTCGTCGCCGTCGTCGTCGTCGTCGTCGTCGTCGCCGTCGTCGTCGTCGTCGTCGCCGTTGTCGTCGTCGTCGTCGTTGTCGTCGTTGTTGTTGGCGTTGCTATTGTCACTGTCGTTTACGGAAAAGGGTAAGAAGAGAGCCGTCCAATACCGCTCACAGAAATACCCAGTATGAAGGATCATCGAGGAGGATGGCTGCGCGCCGTGCTACCTCTGATAACGTTTCTCTTGCATCAGACAGGTGAATACAATCTTATATTTATTATTATTATACCAACGTTTTTCCATGAAAGTCTAGAGATGACTGAGTCGCGCGAGATATTTTACGTCAACTATAGTGTTTAATTGCATCTCTCTTTTAGTCGTGAATTTATTTTTATAAAGGACAAATTATTCAGTAGTTGGGAAATTTGTTATGAAAAGGACATAATAATAGTTCTGTGAAAGAAAAAACTCTAAAAATTGTATCTTGTCAGTCTCGTCTCTTTTCATTAAAGAAGATATTATGAAACATAAATGATTTGAAAACAGAGATCTTTTTTTAAAATAAAATAGAGAGTGGAAAAGATTAAATTTTATAGTTTAGGTGAATATTTCACAGTCATTCATACCCTCTTTTTTTTTTACTGAAATTCCAATTTACGCCGACGTTCAATAATTTGGCGATTGAATGAAATAGATGATTGCATCGATAATAATCAGAGTTTAAAGCCGACTATTTCGAGGTGTAAGTGTACAAATACATGTTTCAGGCATCTAAATAAAGTTCTGTGAATGTAATCTAACACGATAAATGAGTGAATATTTTTTTGCTATTTCCTGTTGGCCGGAATAAACTTAAAGCGGTGCAACGACACTCTGTCGCTCATTCGAACAAAATGCGAGTGTGTCAGTAAAATGGGCCACACCGACACAATGCATTGCTTTCCACACACGCATCCGCACACGAACGCGATTATATCGAAATATATATCACGAATAAAATAATACAAGATAGATTCAATTTTCGACGGAATATTGCGATTTAATGAGCTTGGAGTTAACTAGCCTTTATAGGATATAATCTATCACGAATAGAACGCGCTAGTTTCTTTTCTATTTAACTATAATGCAAGTTTGTTCTCTAGAACATTTGATAATTAATTTCAACGTTTTAAGGTATGAAGTATAGCTGGTTAGAAGTTAATCCGTTGAGATCTATTATAAAATAATTTGCCGGATATAAAATAATTAAGAAAGAGTAACTATATCTGATATTCGTGTTCTTTTTCTTTTATATAAAATATAAAATAATTAAGAAAGAAAGGGGACAACCATTGCTAAAAGAAAAGTCATGCTATCGCGACATTTTGCATGATAAGATGAATCCCGAACGTAATTCCCACCCATCAGAATTACTGAAAGGTAGAATCGTTTCTCGTGTATTCCGGTGTATTCTTAAATACCACAGACCGCTATCGCATTCCACTTGATTTCCATGCAATGAATGGACTCATGAATAAAGCGCTTTAAACCAGATCGCTCGAGATCGTTCGGCGAAAGGCATTCTGCCAATAATTTCAGAGCGAACTCTATCGACATACCGAGTTATTCATAATTCGCTATATGTATGCTGAATTGCATTAAATCGAGTACAGTCGGTAGGAGCAACGAACAATTTGATTGTTGAGATCGAGAATTTCAAGTTGTTCTTATATCTAACTAGGCTTCTCTGTAGCTTTGTCGAGCAATTTGCGGATTGTGACTTATTTCAACAATCCAACATTTTCTCTGTTAAAAGATCGCTAAGAATTTTCTCAAATTGAGTAGCTCATTGGCAAAAAATTGTTAAAGCCATTTCAAATCTTTTTGTTGAGAATATTCGTAACATTTTTTCATTCAATCTATCGATAAGATTTTTTTAAGTTTAAAAGGTTTGTTGTTTTAGTTAACAAACCGTGTATAATATAGCATGAGAAATATAATTTTTATTTATTGAAAGTAGAGTGCAAAGTAATTGATTTTGCAGCCGGAGAAAATATTTTAGTTGATTCTGGAATTGAAATGTTTGTGACTTTTACTTTCTGTAAAAATAGTTAATATTAATTTAAAAAGAATTTTTATAATTTCAAAACATTTTTATTACTTTTTAATAAAATAAAATTACATACTATATTTTCGCTATACATTACGCTTAGTTATTTAGGTATTGGAAAAATACAATATCTCTCTCTTTTCCTCTTTTATCTCTATGCCAAATTCAAATGAAAATAAAATAATAAACATAGAGAAAAAATAAACGAAACAAGTTTTACGAAAAATAATAATGAAAGGAAATAGAAAAATTATATACATATAGTAAACCTAGCTTGTCAGAATAGAGATTTCACTTTTTTGTAACTTGATCCATTTTTCTCTCTTGAGTTTATAAGGTTTGTAACTGTTTTACATATTTTTAAAGCATTCAATTTGTAATCGAAAAGCTAAGAAATTGAGAAATTTTAATATGTACTTTTTTTATTTTTGGTTATTTTGTATATAGGCTATTTAAAATATTGAAAGATTTACTATTTAGAGCACTCCTTAAAGAAGATATCGATCGAATGTCGTGTCGGACATGTAGCGGAAATTCACTCGTTCGTCATAAACACGCTTCACGAGTAAACCGTATATAAATTACCTGAAATTTTGCCACGTCCAGGAATGATGTATAATATGAGGCCATAATGTTACATATATACAGACACATTGCCGATGCAGGGAAATTCTATTTACGGCATTTTCCCGTATCGTGAAATTGCATTTCAAACAGAAATCCGTTAGAAATTAAAAGCAGTTTACTTAGTTTTATTATTGAAAATGTATACAAGAATTAAAATCATGTTTATGATAATGTGTGTTTTAAGACTTGGGTTCATTTAGGATTATTTTACTTAGATTAATTAACGTAGTATAAGATAGTACTAGTTAATTTATTACAAGTCCCATGTAGATGAACTGATTAAACTAAATATTGAGATAAGTTGTCGAGCTTGATAGAAGTACGTATATAACTTTATGTATACATTTGCATATAAATAAAAAACTTTGATATAATTTCGCGACACCGTTAGACCTCGAAAAACTACAAACTGAATTAGACATGCTCGGTAATTAACGCGTCTAGATTCCGCCGGTTGTTAGCTTTGGGAGAATAAACATTGCCCGAATTAGCAGAACAAATTTCCCTCGTTTCCCAATGGCGTTTCCTTGCTTTTACGGGTAACTTTTATCGTGTGCCACCTCTGGCCTGAGGATCGAGAAATGAGGTGTCCGGAAATTTCATCGAGGGACATGAACTTTCTTACGAACGTCGCGGAAAATTGAATTTTTAAGCGACGAGTTATTTGCGAGTAGTCAACTGACATATTTTGACTCCGTTTGTAGATTTGTACACGTGAATATTTACTGATTTTGTCCATCCTGATTTCTGCATGTTACCATTGAACAAAAGCTAATTACAACTGTAACATTATAACGAGCAAACTCGAACGATTCTTCATATACATTGTTACGACTGTACACTCTAAATCCATTATTTATTCGCCAAATCACTGTTATACATGTATCGCCAATAGAAACTGCATAAATTACGGCTTTTTGTAATAAACCGTGTTTCGAAAATACCGATGAAATCAGAATTTATTTGAAAGAGATATTTTCATTGAGGCGCGGTAAAAGAGGTAATATTTATCGCGCTGGAATGAAAGGGTCGATAATTCATTGCACAACGCGATAGACATGGAAATACAAATTGCTTTTTATCGATGTCGAATTTGTTCTATAGACATTTATTTTCATCCCGCAATTCTATAATTTACTTTGATCACTCTGGCTGCCACTGAAAGAGAACAGAGTGGGGTGAGCAAAGAGAATCGATTTCGTGAGTAAATTCGCTCGAATTTCTTAATGCATCGATCGCGATACAATTGTGTGCGCAATGCGCATAATATGTAAATGCAATCCGGATATTGATAGTCTCATGTTTCTCTCGACAAGCATTGTACAGGAATTATAGATATCGAGCGGACGTGTAACACGTTTGTGGAATGCGGTTGATTGTAAGTCGAGAAGCCAATTTGCCAAACTCGAGTTCGTCGCGGGCGGGCGGAAAAGATACCGCAAGAACGTTGCGACGTTCCGTTGAAGTTGTAGCGCGAAGAGAGTCGACGTTATTATACATGTACCTCTGTCTGCAGAAATGACGATATATCTTCGCACAGCGTGTCTTGCATCATCTTTAAACGCCAAAATTAATTCCAAATATATATTATTAAACTCAACACTCGGCATAACTTTTACGCATCTGATGAATATTATATTGTTTCCTCAAACTATACACTACAAGTACTCTGTGTAACTTATGTATATAAGACATACAAGATGACAGAAAAGTTTGGTCATAAAGTTTTGTGCATGTCATATAACGTATATTTATTTAAAAACTCCAGAATATTGAAATTTTGTCTTAATAAATATAAAAAGTAATAATTAATATTCAAAATGACCTTTTTTTTTAGTTTTGATGCAAGCTTTAAGGTCGTTTAGAAATCAACGATGGTCGCATATCTTTCCACGAATGAATTCTTTTAGGTAGTCATTAAACAGGTTTTTAATTTAATGTATTATTTAATTCGATTTTTGATAATTGGTATTTAATAAGATAATGTAATTAACACTTCAAAGTTTATTTTTTTTTAATGCACATTACTATTATCCAGGTAGTATACTGAAATTGTTTGTCATTATTTTGATGACAAATAGATAACATTAACTTGCTTACCTGAATAAAGATTTGATAAACGTAAACAACCTTGTAGTCAAACTTGGTCAAGGCGGATGTTAATGCATAATAATATCTATATGTGTGAATTTTTATAATTTCCAGTTTAAACAAACTGTATACCGAGATGGAAAGAGAGAGAGAGAGAGAGAGAGAGAGAGAGAG